AGTCCACTCGGCTCCCTCCAGCTGCGACAGTAGTGTAAACAGGCAGGTGTTCGATTCTTCACGCTGTTTACTGGAACGTCAGAAAAGTGGCTCCTGCTATAGAAGAGCAGCACATGTAGCAGGAACCTGGGGAACCAGCAGGTCTACACAACGTCCCCCTCGATAAAAACTAAGAGTAAAGGATTTATTGATTAGATACTTGCTCACTTAAAGCTGTAATGGCAAATCTGCAAACAAGCTAGGTTTTGAACACGGTCACTGACCACTCACCCGTCCCCACGAGTATTTTCCCTAGGACACTTTTGGCGAAACTGGACATTGTCAGAGGAAACAATATTGCGTTAATTACCAGTCGCTGTCTTTTTTTTTTCATTCATTCATTCATTTATTTCCATCATAACAAATACATATAAAACACATGAAAAGGAAAATAATTATCTAATAAAGAACATAATAATAATTATCACAGGTACAAATTCCTCTTATAAATTAAACAGTTTCTTTAGATATTATTTATGAGCGAAAAGGTATAGGCTGAAGTTAAACTTATTAAAGCCTACCCATTAATTCATTACAAAAAAAAATCAACATTGTCATAAATATCAAAAGTAAATAAACATATAAACATATAAACAGTTGACTAAACATCTTTAGTTGTCCGTCCGTGACTTCAAATGGTGATTTTCTTTTTGGGACTCTGGTAGTTTGTCCTAAAGGTGAAGTTAGTGATGCACCGATATGAAATTTTGGGGGCGATACCAATATCTGATATTAATCTCACTGTTAAGGCCGATAACCAATATTTGCCGATACCGATATGCTGACATTAATGTTTCTAAAATGAGCAGATTTTGTATAGAATGAAAATTATTCAAGCTGAATTTACGTTATTAAGTACACACACCACACACATTTACATTCACTGTCACATGACTATACAAATACACATCACCCCTCTCACCCTCTGAAACAGGCAAACAAATGGAGACGAGATGGAAAAAGTATCGGTGTTAGTATTGACCCGGTTTTATTTATCGAACCGATACGTAAAAAAATGACTAACATCGGCCGATACCGATAATGATGCCGATATATTGTCCACGCCTAATACTGGGCATTCAACAAGCCGGGAAGGACACAGCTCCATGATTTGCTGCCTTCAAACAGGCTAATTTCACTTCGGCTTTCCCTTCGGACATCAACAAAGCAAATCGCTGTTCTCCATTAATTCCCAGTTTGCCTCCAACAGTCCCAGTTCACAGTGAAGTCACAAAACTGCAGAGCCAGCCCACAGAGTAGAATTAAACAATTAAACATAGAGAAAGTGCCAACAGACTACAAAACCATAAGTAGTAGTGTTTCTAATCACGGAAACATGCACAGGGAGCCTAAGTCACGCCCATCTATTTCCAGACCACGGGTCCCTGGAAGAACGAAAAAATGAAGGCAAGTCAACGGGGCTAAAAACGCTATTTTCTAATTCCGCTTCTTACGTGCCATGGATTTCACACACGATGTCCGTGAATTTTAAAGAAGCTTTTTGATCGTTATTTTTCGCACGGGGGAAGCGCTAGCTTAGGTTTTGTTTGAAAACAAGTCCAGGACTACAAATGCGCGTCGCGAAAGTGACGTCATCGAACCAGACATGGAGAAAAATGTGGAAAATGGCTGTAAGTTCATCAAACTTCAAATCCTTCCTTCCGGGGGAAAGAGCCACCATAAATCTGGTCACGTGGTAAGTAGCAGCTACGCTAGGGGGGAGGAGACTCTGTGGTGACGTGCCGATGTCTGATTTGTAGTCATGCTGATTACGGACTTTTACAAGCTAATAAATCTCTAAGCACATGACAAGCGCGGTCGAAACACCCATCGTTAATTTAAATTTAAATTGCAGTACAACATATGTGTGACCCAGGGCGTGAAGCAAAGCGGATTAGAAAAGCGCTCTTTTAGCCCCGTTGACTTGCCGACCGGAAAGGGAGGAGACTTATGCCGGGAACACACCAGATGCAACGTGCGGCGAAGTGAAATTTGTGCGCCGTCCACTCCTCCTCTGTTCACATCAGGCAAGAATTTTCAACGAGCGCTTCTGCTCACACCTACTGTTTTACAGACCCCACCCTCATGCCCTTGCCGTGCGTTTGTGTGTGTGTGTGTGTGTGTGTGTGTGTGTGTGCGTTTGTGTGTGTGTGTGTGTGTAACCAGTTAGCCCCGGTTGTTGACATCAGAAACTGCGCTGATCCTGCTGCTGTTTTGTAGACCAGTTTCGTTCTAAATGGTTAAGTAAAGAACTCGTGTCTGTGGTACAATCCAGCTTTTACAAACTGCGTTTAAATTTATGAAAACACTTTGTTTCTCCGCAGGAGTGTGTGTGTGTTTGTGTTTGTTCATTTTCATCTCTCTATTTATCAGTCACGGTGTTTTATTTTGAAAATTTTGTTTTATTTAGTAAAATTTACCAGCCTGCCTCATCTGATTTGGTTCGACTTCCTGCCGGTATTGACGCGACTAACTCACGGCTAACAACAATGGTGACCTACACGTTAAACTATTTTTTACAAATTTTATAAAAATGAAGACATTAAGAAGGTTTTTTACACTACTTTAATATAACTAACGTTTATCTTTGAAGAACCAGAGTTTTGTAACCTGGGTTCCTTTTAAAACCACAACAAGAAGCTCTAAAAGCACACTACAGCTAAAAAACTACGGTCTGCATTTGCGTCTATTTTTGAGCCGCCTAGTCCCGCCCCTCATGTGCCTCTCTGTCTGTCACTAACGAGACTAGTTCTCTGTGTATAATTAAACAGAGGATGAGTCTGGCAGGCCAGGCTACCAATTAGAAGAAGAAGAAGAAAATATCATTTCTGTAGCGCCTCTCAAGATAAAAATCACGAGGCGCTTCACAAAAACAAAAAATGTAAAAATATAAAAAAGAATTTAGAAAATGTTTAAAAATATATTTAAAATGAGCAAAAAATAGACAACTGTTATTAAAAAAATGTTAAGAAAGAGAGAGAGTGAATAGGAAAGAGGGAAATCAGTGGAAATTTGGCAAATGAAAGGCCAATAGATGCCAGAACCCAAAGCAGGGAAGACGTTGTCTTGTTGTTGGATACAACTGGACCTACAGGAGATCTGGGTAGTTTTCAGTTTGAAAGCCACCCCTACAAGAGATTGAGAGTTATCCAAACAGAAGTCAACAGGCCATCTTTTAACACAGGAATAAGAGTTGTTGTACCTTTTGTTGCTGAAGTGTCGGCCACCACTGCGGTGTTCCTCAGAGCTCACCGCTGTTGGCAGCATCACTTCCTTCTCCGTTTATCTGTGGGCAGCAGAGGGCGACTGACTGGTGCCCTTCAGAAGAAACGTGGAATGCCGTTGCCATGGCAACTCTGTCTCCTGTCCCAGCCTGGGCGGGACTTCTGGCTGTGAAGGCCGAAGGAGTCACTGCACTGAGGTGACATGTGCTGCTTATCGTGGCTGCAGGAACTGAAGTGGGGATAGTCCCAACCCCACCACCCCACCTAGTGGACACTTATGTTGGGTTGTCTGAAGTCTGTTGCATATCTGTCCTGAGGTGTTTCTGTGCAGAGCAAAGCTGCCCTCCCTATGGAGGGTAACTCTGAAGTGCCTTTTTTCCCTCCACCTGAACCAATCCTCATGTTACCCTCTTATCTCTATTAAGGTAGCGCGACTCAGGGTTGCGAATGACCACAGTCACCAATTCTTGTCATGGGTTAGGGTTTTAAAACCTGTTAGCTTGTTACTGACAGCAGCTACGTTTAAGTTTCACTTCCTGTTGGGACTGAACGCTGCTGCAGCATGGAGGTGTAGTTCTCAGTCATCCTGGACATGATCATCCTGAGAGTTTCAGCTGAAAACAGCTGGACGTTACTGGATGTGTTGGAGACGTTTAGCCTCTCATCCCAGAGGCTGCTTCCAGACTTTGGTTGTGGTCAGAAACAAACACACTGGTTGTGCTGCAAGTCTTTTTCTTTTTGTCTCCAAAACATGTTTGTGTCTAAATGAAGGTGATGTTGTTGTTCATAGAGTTAAAATTCATGTTGAAGTTAAGATTATTTCATCCAGTAGGACCTGTGGTTAGCTGGCTCATGTAAAACATGTCATGTCTGGAAAGAATCGGAATCGGGAATCGATAGGAACCGGAATCGAAACGAGGAATCGGAATCGTTCAGTATTAAACGATGCCCCACCTTACGTTCCCTAAAGAAAGACACACTAGAGGGACTATTTCCACTTCCACATCTGACCTGGACCAGGCTGGGTTGCCTCGGTCTGGGTTCAGCACCGGTGGGATTTGTTCACACACACTTTTCAGGAAATCTCCCGAGCACGTGAGCAGGGCAAAAGACGTGCGGACACGTCCGTGGCGTCTCCCTTAAGTTAAACAAAGTGGCTGTGACCAGTGGTGCTGCTGGAGACTTCTGACTCTGCTGTCTGTCCTCGCTTTGCACAGCTTAATCCTCAGCCGTTCTGTGTGTGTGTGTGTGTGTGTGTGTGTGTGTGTGTGTTTGTGTGATCCTCACAACTCAGTAAGAGGCTGCTTCAGTCAGAGGCAATGCTTCCTTCACAGCATCCAGAATGATAACGAACCGTGCACGCGGAAGCCCGCGCTGACTGATGCTGTCCGCCAATCGGAGACCCCCCCCTAATGGTAGGCGTGAGTTTTAGCCAGCCAATCAGTCGGCACTGGGTATGTCAGGCCAGTTCAACCCGAAGCAGCTTGCCTTGGGAACAGGGCTGAATAGATGACTGGCCAGCCCTGATGTGAAAGTGGCTTATGCTTCTCAGCTGGCCAGGGAATGCCACGGTGTTCCCTGGAAGAGCTGGCCCAAGTGGCTGGGGAGAGGGACATCTGGGCCACGTTGACACGGCTGCTGCCCCCGTGACCCGGCCTTGGATAAGCGGACATAGAAGGATGGGTAGATGGACATGTTGTGTTAAGTGTGTGTTTCTGCTCTGGGTGTTTGTTGCAGTGAACAGAGCATCTGCCAGGCCCGAGCTGCTGTGATGGTCTACGATGACACCAACAAGAAGTGGGTTCCAGCTGGTGGCTCCACAGGCTTCAGCCGGGTTCACATTTACCACCACACGGGCAACAATGCCTTCCGCGTGGTGGGACGCAAGATCCAGGACCACCAGGTGTGTGAACTCCCAGACGTTCCTGTTGTTGTGAACATCCCTGATGATGTAAATGATGTTCCTCGTCTTTCCTCTGTGGGCGGCTGCAGGTGGTGATCAACTGTGCCATTCCCAAAGGGCTGAAGTACAATCAGGCCACACCGACCTTCCACCAGTGGCGTGACGCCCGACAGGTCTACGGCCTGAACTTTGGCAGCAAAGAGGATGCCAACGTATTTGCCAGTGCCATGATGCACGCGCTGGAGGTGCTCAACTCGCAGGACACAGGTGAAGATGGGGGTTGGGTGAATCCAGATGGAGAGCGGTCCGAGTACCCCCCGCTTCTTTCACCTGTAGTTCAGCTCATTTAGTTCTTGGTTTTGTTTACATCCACACCTGCTCTTAGCGACGGTTTCCCCTTTCACCCTACTGCCTTGACAGCTGGTGTTTGGCACCTACAGTTCTCTGTTAACATGGCAGTCATGCTGCAACGTGACCCCCCCGCTAGAACCTGACCCGGGTTCCCAGGTGTAGAGCCCGATGCTGGATGTGGTCTGATGAGCAGGTTTTTTTCACCTTTGCCAGGATCCACTGATTTCCCTCTTTCTCCCTTTCCGTCCATTTTTAATCCACGTTTGTATTTCTTCTGATTTAAAACATATTTTTAATCATTTATTGAAATCTTTTTTTATTAACTTTTTTTTGTGAAGCGCTTGGTGGTTTTTATCTTGAGAGGCGCCGCATGAAATATCGTTTTCTTTCATTCTTTTCTTTCTTTATGTCCTCCAGCAGCATAAAGCCGGGCGTACACTGTGTGACTTTTTCACTCTTTTGAGCCGATGTACCACTCGTGCGAGAATCCACGACATCGGGGCGAGTTTTGCGCCGAGCGGTCGTGTAGTGTACGGGGGTTACGAGAGGCGATTAACACCACGTGACCAGCTGCTGATCAGCAATCGTGAGCTCGCACGGACTTCTGGCGTGTTTGATATTTCGCTCGTCCCTCGTGAGGGTATCGCACTGTTGAAGCGGCGCTGCGAGCAGCTGCGACCCAAAAAGTACCAGAACCGCTCACGGCGCATGCGCAATCCTGCATCAGCACCGCTCACCCGCTACTTCCCTAATAACACATGTTGTTCGTTTTTATTTCTACACGTTTTTTTACTCACAAGAATTGTCAAGAAAGCGTGTTTGTCGTGTTCGTGTCAAACTAAACTGATCACTAAACACAGATTTACTTTCTTTATTTCGTTTTCCTCATCCAACCCCCATAAATCCCTGTGTGTCCTCCTGCAGCACTCCCGAAGGACAACAGGCAAAACAAGACAAAAAAGTCTGACGTGTTGAGTAAAAACGGCTATTTTTAGCATATTTTTAGGTCCGACGTGTTGCTACCAGACGTACAGCGTGAGCAGTCAGGTCGCATCCGAGAACTGGGTCGTACAGTGTGAGCACACGACTCGTGAGATCTGCCCTGCGAGGAAGTCGTGCAGTTTGAGCTGAAGCTGAACGCTGCGAGTGAAAAAGTCGCACGGTGTACGCCCGGCTTAAGTCTATGGCAGCAAAACTACCAGGGTTGGGCGATTTGTACCGTTTTTCCCGTCGCCAATCATCTGTCCGATAAATGATGATGGATGATTAATTTGTGCACGTGACATCATGATGCACGGATTGATTTGCGAAACCGGAAGTCCAAGCACGGATTAGTTTTTGGAAGCACAGCGCATTTGTTCGCCGGAACCGAAATTTAGATTTTTCCTTTAGTTAAAGGTTTTGTTTGTTGTTGCAGACGTCTCTGCTCTCGTGAGGAGACGCTGCATTAGTCTGCTAGCGAGTGACGTCAAAACAGCTCAAATTAAACACAGCGTTAAAGAAAACCCAGCAAACCTTTGGATGTTTAATGACCATTGAAACGTCAAACCAAGACGTTCCATCATGGTTGAAAAATTGTCCTAAAATGAAAGTTTAACTGACGTCTTTTCTGGCCGTGCAATAAACGTCTTTTAGCGCGTTTCATTTGGACGTTTAATAAATAAATTTTGAGCGAAAATACCGTAAAAAGAATGTCATTACTGTAAAACGAATAACTTTTCCATGTGCCATCTAGGTCAGAATGTCACGTGTACCAGTCTGGAATTGAACCCAGGTCCACAGCGTAAGCTGATGCCCTACAGATTGAGCTATTTCTCTGATACATAGTTTTAACTGAAATTATTTATATTACCAACTTTGGTGCTAAACCCAGCAAACATTTGAACTCTGACAGCTGAAACGACACATGTAGATTGGTTGGGGGAACTCCCACGCACCCTCCAGGATCCCCCTAAGGGTATAGAGCTGGTCCAGTGTTCCGTGGCCAGGATGAAAACCACATCGCTCCTCCTGAATCCGAGGTTTGACAATCCGACGGGTCCTCCTCTCCAGAACCCCTGAACAGACCTTACCAGGAAGGCTCATTACATAGCTGTAATTAATGAAAAAATAAAAACAACAACACTTTTTCTTCCTGGGGAATTTATTACAAATCAGTCTTGGTTATGTTATGAAATATCTGAAATATTAACATTTTTGCATCAATAGACTTTGTGTAGCGAGAGATTTAAAAGTTACCATTCTCATGAGACCTTAGTGGACAAAAACGTCCCATTGACTTCCATTCAAACCACAGTTTTGGATCCTAAAACATCTGCAACAAATAATCATGCTTTCTGTGACATTAGGGTTTTATTTTGGAGAAAAGTAGTCTTTATGATTGTTACTCTTCACCACCAAATACGATCCTTTCTCTGTTAGCGTCACAAGCGAAAAGTACACAGTTCCATTAATCTCCTGTTGTGTGTATTGAAGTCAAAAGGTCAGCTTGAAAATAATCAGCTCGCTTATCCATCCAGATCAAGTAGGTTTTATTAGACAAAGAAACTTCTCAAAGTATCAGACGTCTTATAAATGTTATGTGGCTGATACAGGACTCTAATCAACCAACGGCTGCAATCTCACTCGATGCCGAGAAAGCATTTGATTGGTTGGAATGGAGTTGCATGTTTCATACGCTAATAACCTTTGGATTTGGTCAAACATGTCTTAGATGGATTGAGATTCCCTATAAAGACCCACAGGCTGCAGAGAGAACAAATGGTCTGATCTCTTCATATTTCACACTCGCCAGGGCTTTTTTGTTTGGCCCTAGGGCCTCTTGCAGCAGCCATTCGGATGGATAAGCGTATCCAGGGAGTTAAAATAAACGAGTCCACACATTAACGTTTGATGTACACAGATGATATTCTGTGGCTTCAGACCCAGTCAAATCTGTCCCAGCACTACTAAAAGTTATTAATTCATTCTCTAAAATATCCAGATACAAAGTCAACTGGTCCAAGTCAGAGGCCCTCTCATAGACTTCATACTGTCCGAAAACCTTATTTCGGGCAGGTCTATTTCAAAGGCCCACTGACGGTATTCTCCCTCCTCAGCAAATAGACAAAATTACTGAAAAAAATCTGGACCCGATTCTCAAAAAAATATCTTTGGATACCGACAGATGGGCTTCAATGTTTTTGTCAATATGGGTCAACGTCCTGAAGATGAACTGTATTCCAAAGCTGAATGACTTGCTTCAGTGTCTTCCTATTGCAATACCACAGAGATATTTGAAAAGATTTGACCAATTATGTGGGAAGTTTTTATGGAATGGCAAATGAGCAAGGCTAAAGTTGGAAAAAATGCAGGCACCAGTCAATACGGGGGGCTTGGGCCTCCCCAGATTGGCTCTTTATCATTATGCATTCTGTTTAAGACGCATTGCTAAACGGATGCCACCACCTGAAAGGGCTCCTCCTTGGTTTGAGGTCGAACAGAGATGGCTCTCTCCAGTTGCCCCTATAAATGTTCTGACTAGTAAGATACCCCCTCATCTGAAATCTCTCCCCATAATATCTAATTAGTGTAATGTGTGGAAGAAGGTCTCTTAAAGTGTATAATGTCAATGTTTATCTTAATTCTGAATCCTGTATTTGGAATAACCCAAGGCTATGTATCAAACATCCCTTATTATGGAAAGACTGGGTAAGAAAAGGAATCACTACGATAGCAAACCTATATGAGAAAGAGAATATAAAATCATTTGAGAGGCTGACCGAGGAATATGGCCTACCCAGGAATGGATTCTGAAGGTACCTGCAGTTGCGACGCATGTTAATTAGTGTTATGGGGAGAAATGTGGAACCTCAACAGTCAAACCTTGTTTCTTGGGTTGGGAAAATAATGAGCTCGGGGCACGAGCCGTGTTACTTCAACAAACAGTTTTCCCATCGTATGCAACAATGTTAGCTTGGTCAAATGATCTTAACATTGCTATTCCACAAAAAGAGTGGGATCATATCTGTGAAAATGTCAAGAGACATTAAAATTAGATTGATTCAATTTAAAATACTCAATCGCTTTTATTGGACCCCAAGCCGGCTTTTTAAATTGAACATGAGGGACATTGCAGAATGCTGGAAGTGCTGTAACACAGAAGGTGCTCTTATTCCCCTATTCTGGGAATGTCCCATGATTCAGAACTACCGGTTAAAAATCCACAATCGTATTGTAAACATTACCGGGAGTAATGTGGAATCTGTCCGAGATGAAATGTTGTGAATGATCCACATGTAGATGTAGCGGTGGACTTCATTCAGACCAGTGCAACGATTGGAAAGCAAATCATAATGAGAAATTGGAGGACCCAGGTGAACCGCGTATGCGGGAATGGAGAATGGAATTGGCGAAAGTGGCGTCATACGAAAGAATTGTTTTCAATATAAATGACAGGTCTGACAAATACAAGTTGAAATGGGGAAAATAGATGCAATATATCACTTCCAGGTGAGAAAGTGGTGAGAGGTATGAAATACAATGGATCCATATGTGTTTTAAACCCTTGGGTTATTTAAATGTATTTTATTTTATTTCTTTTTTTGCTTTGTTTTGTTTTGTTTTGGTGTCGTTCATGGATAGACAGTACTCTGTATGGCTGGAATACCGTGTTATTATCTATGATGGATAATTGTTTAGAAGCCAGTGTTTATGTCACATTTGTGATAAAAATTCAATGAAATACTTGTGATAAAAAAGGTCAGCTTGACCTCTGATAAGTAAATAAAATAGTTTCACTTTCATACTGAACTTTAAAGTGTAGAAAACAAAAACAGTTTACGTCATCCCAATGCGAGTCGTCGATAACGCAGTGCTCACTTTCCCAATTTGGAAATTAATTACGCACTTGTGTACCTCGCACTTGAAGCCTTACT